AATGTAAGTCAGCGAGAGAATAGGAAACAAATAATGAGTACTTCACTAAGTTGGATTTAATGTTTATTGTGTAATGTAAGTCAGCGAGAGAATAGGAAACAAATAATGAGTACTTCACTAAGTTGGATTTAATGTTTATTGTGTTTTCTTCATCCATATATTTTTGAATTTTATCATTTCATACCGTTGAAACTAATAATGTAAACCCTCGATAGGAAATGAAATTGATAAACCCTCGATAGGAGATGAAACTAATAATGTAAACCCTTGATAAGAAATGAAACTGATAATGTAAACCCACGACAGGAAATGAAACTGATAAATGTAAACCCTTGATAAGAAATGAAACTGATAATTTAAACCCTCGATATGAAATGAAATTGATAATGTAAACCCAAGAGAAGAGATCAAACCGATAATGTAAACCCTCGTTAAGAAATGAAACTGGTAGTGTAAACCCTCGATAGGAAATGAAACTGATAATGTAAACCCACGAGAGAAGACGAAACTGATAATGTAAACCCAATAGAGAAGATGAAACTGATAATGTAAACCCACGATAGGAAATGAAATTGATAAACCCTCGATAGGAGATGAAACTAATAATGTAAACCCTTGATAAGAAATGAAACTGATAATGTAAACCCACGACAGGAAATGAAACTGATAAATGTAAACCCTTGATAAGAAATGAAACTGATAATTTAAACCCTCGATATGAAATGAAATTGATAATGTAAACCCAAGAAAAGAGATCAAACCGATAATGTAAACCCTCGTTAAGAAATGAAACTGGTAGTGTAAACCCTCGTTAAGAAATGAAACTGGTAGTGTAAACCCTCGATAGGAAATGAAACTGATAATGTAAACCCACGAGAGAAGACGAAACTGATAATGTAAACCCAATAGAGGAGATGAAACTGATAATGTAAACCCACGATAGGAAATGAAGTTGATAAACCCTCGATAGGAGATGAAACTAATAATGTAAACTCTGGATAGGAAATGAAACTGATAATGATGCTACTCTCAACTGAAGATGCTGTTTATTGCATTTTCTTCATTAAAATATTTTTGAATTGCAACATTTCTTACCGTTTTGTTGGTGTTTCGTTTTTATATTTCCTAATATTCATTTCATTTTCATGACACTTTTTATTCTGTAAATTTATCCTTAGTGTGCCTAGGGATGTCAGTTAGGTAGGGCAAAGGGACAGTTGTTTACTTTGAGAACAATGCATACACATAAAACATAAAATGTGCACTATTTGAATGGTTAATAAATAATATAGGAAATAAACAAATCAAATAGTTCAAGAAAACTGTTTTTAAAAAACCCATGGCCGTCCAGCTGCCATAATCCCTTGGAAGTGTAATACATATTGCCCCCCCCCCCAATTGAAATCTGAAATTACGCTCCTGGATGTTTCCACCTTCTCCATTTTTTGTAAGCATAAAGACAAAATTCTCTGTACTTCTAAATACGTTGATAGAAATGTGATAATCTGTAAAATTTTGCTTATGCTGGTTACGTATGGACTATTTATGGATTAAGTTTTGTTTATTTCGTATTACTGTTGTTGTTTTTCTTTCTTTTTTCCTTCTTCATTTTTTTTCATAAATCGTTTTTCATGTGCCCAAAACATTACAGAAGTCCAAAGTATTTTGGATCAACATGATGACTTATACCACGTAACCCTGGAACTGGTTAGCCTTTCGTTGCGTAATTTGATATATATATATATATATATATATA